GGTGACTGATCCAGTCTAATGAAGTCATGCGCGATAGCCCAGTGTGGGCTCGGCGCCTATAGCTCAAGTGGCTAAGGTGCCAACCACATATACCAGAGCTGGCGGATTAGAATCCAGCCTGGGCCTGCCAACAACAACGACAACTACGACCAAAAAAATAGCCGGGTGTTGTGGCAGGCACCTGTAGTTCCAGCTACTTGGGAGGCTGAGGCAAGAGAATCGCTTAAGCCTAGGAATTAGAGTTTGCTGTGAGCTGTGATGCCACAGCACTCTACCCAGGGTGACAGCTTGAGGCTCTGTCTAAAAAAAAAAATGGCCCAATATGATATTTTGCATTTCCAGGTAATCCAAGTGATTTCTACTTAGTATGCGAAAGGATGGAAAAATTAACATATCCCTAGGGCAAGAACATAAAATTTGCTTGCATTGTCCCTTTCCACATGAATGCAAACTGATTTTTTTCTTTTTTTTTTTTTTTTTACCGGGAGGGAGAAAAATGCATGTATCGGGTCAACAGTCCTGAGCCCAGGATAATCTTCTCTGGCAAGGATACATTGAGCACAGAAGACTTCATCCATTGGGCTCTGGATCTGAAAACTGGCTCAGATGCAGAATCTGGGCAAGGACCACCACGTCGCAGTGTCCTTGTGGTTTTGATTGGCATTTCTCTAATGATATGTAATGTTGAGTATCTTTTCATGGTCATCTTGGTCATTTCCATAACTTTTGAATAAATATCTATTCAAATCCTTTGTGTAATTTTTTTAATCGAGGGGTTTTTTTTTGTTGTTGTTGATGAACTGTTTATTTTAACTTTGTATATGGTGTAAAGAGTCTAACTTCTTTTTTTTTATTTTCCACGTGTGGACATCCAGTTTTCCCAGCATCATTTGTTGAAAAAGACTGTCCTGGGGCGGGGGGAATACTGCCCTTTCCTCACTGAATGATCTGGACACTGCTGTCAAAATTTATTTGACCATATATATTAGGGGTTTTTTCTGGGTTCTCCATTTCAGCCCCATTGGTCTGAATGTCTTTCTTTATGCCACAGCCACACTTTTTTTTTTTTTTCTGTTGCCCTGGGTAGAGTGCCATGGCATCAAACCCACAGCAACCTCCAACTCTTGAGCTTGAGCAATTAATCCTCTTGCCTCAGTCTCCTGAGTAGCTAGCACTACAGGTGTGCATCACTACACTCAGCTAGTTTTTCTATTTTTAATAGAGACAGTGTCTCACTGTTGTTCAGGCTGGTCTCGAATTCCTAAGTTCAAGCAATTTATCTGCCTCAGCCTACCAGAGCGCTAGGTTTACAGGTGTGAGCCCCCATGCCCAGCCCAGAGCCCCACTATTTTGACTACCATAACTTTGGAGTAAATTTTAAACTTGTGAAGTGTGAGATGGCCAACTTTGTTCTTTTTTGAGATTGTTTTGGCTATTTGGGGTCAATAGAGATTCTTTACGAATTTTAGGATTGATTTTTCTATTTCTGCAAAGAAAAGTTAGGATTGTGATAGTGATCACACTGAATCTGTGGATCACTTTGGGTAGTGTTAACATCCTAAATAAGGAAACTCAAATCAGAAGATAAGGAAAGTTTTTTATGATGGAAAAGTGCCGTGTTTTGTGATGATAGTTACATGATTTGTGCCTCTTTCAAAATTCATACAATTGTATACTTGAAATGAGCACATTTGTTCCATGCAAATTATATCTCAATGAATTGATTAAAAACTTTAAAAAGATATCCTAGACTGTGTGGGAAAGGCCTGTGCCAATGTATAGGTGGAAAAAATAAAAACCACCAAGAAAAGCCTGCTCATCTAGCCAGTTGAAAAGGGATAATCTGACAAGATAAACGCTGAGCACAGGGTCACAAACCATTGGGTCTCTCTACAGAGCCAACATAATTTATAATATCCTCCCTTGATTTTTAGATATTGTATTCTCCAGCCTTCTTCCCTTTTCAATCATCTATTTTAAGTCTGTCCTAAGCCTTCAACTCTTCTAATTATCAGTGAGCTTCAGCCTCAGTTAAATGGAAGAGATAACCTGGTGCCCAAGCTTGACTATCCAACCATCACGTCCTACATCTAAATCCGTGAGCAGACTTCAAGTTATTTGCGCACCTTCAAGAGTCTTTGCATTTGTCTCTATAATAGTTCACTTAATCTGAAGTGCTCTTCTCAATCCTTCAAAATCCTTCCTAATCTTCCTAATCCTTCTTAACAGCTAAAGGACTCTGTTCAGCTTTTTGAAATCTCTCAGTCAGAACATACTGCTCCTTCCCATGTCCTGAGCTTTACTCCATCCTCTGCATTGGAAGTCAAGGTCCTTGGGACTAGGAATTGAATTTGCCTTAGATATCATAATGCCTTAGATATGTGCCTACCAATGTTTGATGGATGAGTGAATGAGTAATTTGATCTTCATAAAGACTTTTATAGGAGATAGATTAAATATTAGAGACACATGCAGTCAATAAATATATGCACAGGGCTTTAGGGGGAAAGAAGCCCAAATGTAGATATGTTAGGTATAGGCATCCAAGTATGTTCTTGGGTGCCTGGTGGGGAGGTGTGAAGTAGGTAGGTTATAGAAGTGATGGAGGAGTACGTGGAGATAGAAAATGGGTGATATTCTATTTCTATATACACACACAGAAAGAAGGTACAAAAAATGTATATGCATTTTGAGAAAGAAAAAATATCATAATACTCAATATATACCAATAATAAAAGATGAATACAAGTCTTTGTCACATTCAATTTCTGCAATTATAAGAGGTGCTCAAAGTAGTTACCATCAGTGTCCAGAACCTTCTGATCATGGTGAACTACCGCTTGAGCAACTCTGGAACACTCACAATACTGCAGCCTTTGATTAGGGTGCATGTAATAATCTTGGGATCTAATAATGTTGATTCAGTGCATGTAATAACTTGGGATGAAAACTTTCAATTTTGCTGTTGTAAGAACGCGTCGTATGCTTGTTCTGCTAACTCCTGCCTCATGTGCATATTGTTTGGTAAACTTCTGTGGCAAGTGTGTAAACTATTCCAACACCATAGCAGAAGAAGCAAGATGAGTTACTGGGCGAGGCCCACCAGAGAAAAGCCTGCTCATCACAGAGTACCTTGCGCACATCACAGAGTACCATGCATCTCAAACTTATCACAAATGTGTGCAATCCCCATGCCTCCATTGTCGTTGTACCTCCACAAGATTCTTGAATTCCAAATGCCATTTCAAAATGGTTGTGTGCTCTTTGAATGGCAACAATGCTTCCACCATTTTCTTTGACTGCCATACCTGTCCCATGGTTGTGATGCTAGCATTCATTTGATTAACACCATCTTTTGAGTGAACGTCATACTACACATTGCCACTGTAATTCAATTCAACCTTGGAAAGTATTACTTGGATAAAACCTCTTAAAGTGTGTATACATGTTTTTGGCATTCTATATATATATGTGTGTATATATATATATAAATATATATGTGTGATGCCTATATATTTATACTTTTCCTTTTATATATATTTATATCTTTTCTTCATTTTATATATATAAATATTCATATATAAATTCATTCTATAAATATTAATAGAATGTGTTGTATGCTTCTTCTGCTAACAAGCAGTTACTGTTGGGGGGGAAGGGATTGGACAAGACCCCAAGTCCAGAACTCCAAAGAGTGGGACAGATACCTTGTTACAATCATCTACTGCTGGATTTGGGGATTTAAATCCCATGCACGCTAGGTGACAGATGCTTAAAACCAAGCAGAGAAAGGAAACTTGTGCATATTTAGTGACATTTACATTTTGAAATAAAATTTATGATTCATTAAAAAAAAAGGAAATCTAATAATATAAAAAGAAGTATGAATCAGACTTTCTGTGAGTTAAGGCACAAGAGTGGAGTGATGCAATTCACAAATTTCCCTTAAACAAAAATTATTTTTCTACACTGTTTCTCCCTTTTGCAACAGTACCATGGTGCAGAGAACCCGTGGATTTCCTTCCTACATGTCAGTGTAAGATCCTGACTCTCCTGTATAATAACACAATGCAATCACACTTTGGTTTTTTCTTTTTTTAAAAGCTTAGCTCTGTCTCCCCAGCTGGAGTGCAGTGGCATTATCATAGCTCCCTGCAACCTCAAACTCCTGGGCTCAAGAGATCCTCCTGCCTTAACTTCCCTAGTAGCTAGGACTATAAGTGCAGGCCTCTAATTTTTTCTATTTTTAGTAAAGATGGGTCTTGGTATCGCTTAAATTGTGTATGTTTGTGTATGTGTAAGTATACTTGCACACCAAACTGGAAGGATACATTCCAAAATGTGAGGAAAATGGGTGGAGAGGAGAAAGACTTTGAACTATCAACTTCTTTCCTTCTGCCTCAGCAAACCCCCCCACACACACCCAGGGTTCTAGGATCAACAGGTGTGAACCACCACACCCTGCCCCATGTGTGGGTTCTTTAAAAAAGAGAAAGGAAACCCTCAAAATCACTTTAGCTTTGAGCCTACAGGATATTCCACATACATTTATATTCAATGCATGGGCTTCTTGAAAAAAATCAGATGTATGGAAGTACAGAAAATAAATACTCAAAGTCTTCCTCTCCTCCTTACCCACCCTCCCTATGCTTTGGCATGCATCCTTCCAGGTTGGTGTGCAAGTATACCTACACACACATGCACACAAAATTGGAGATCGATACTAATAGTATTGCTCTAACCACATCATTCTGCAATTTACTTCACTTGGTTAAATTTTCTATAAAGGTACCTAATTTTTCTATTGGTTGTTTAGTATCACATATGACCAAGCAATCACTCATTGATGGGTTATTTTGTACTTTCATTTTATTTCTTGTTTATATCGTTAAACATTTTAAATTTACGGAATACCTATATGTGTTTTAAAATGTAGAGTAGCTTTCCTTCTCTCTGTGCTTGTTGTGAGTGTCCGTGCCCTCCCCGCACACCTCATCGCCATGCCTTGGAAAACTGAGGAAATTAAGAACTTTCTGCTCATAGCCAGATAAAAGGATGCCAAGTCTGTCAAGATCAAGAAAAATAAGGATAATGTGAAGCTTAAAGTTCGATGCAGCAGATACCTTTATACCTTGGTCATCACAGACAAAGAGAAGGCGGAGAAACTGAAGCAGTCTCTGCCCCCTGGTTTGGCAGTGAAGGAGCTGAAATGAAGTAGACATGCTGATTTGAATTGGATTAGATTTTTACAATTCTTTAAAAAATAAATAAATAAATAATAAAAATGTAGAGGTATCTAAAGTGAGGCTTGGTGCCCATAGCCGGGATACAGTGCCAGCCATATAAACCCAGGCTGATGGGTTTGAACCCGGCCGGAGCCAGCTAAACAATAATGACAATTGCAACAAAAAGATACCCAGGTGTTGTTGCAGTTGCCTGGAGTCCCAGCTACTTGCGAGGCTGAGGCAAGAGAATCGCTTAAGCCCAAGAGTTTCAGGTAGTTGTGAGCTGTGATGCCACGGCACTCTCCTGAGGGCAACATAGTGAGACTCTGTCTCAAAATACAAAAATAAATAAATAAAATAAAATGAAAGATAAAAAGCTCCCACTGCCCCCATCCCCCCATATACCCATTACCCAGATTTTATAAATGATTTCTGGTTCTTTTTCTACTGCTGATTACCATCAAATCTGTATCTATATTTACACCTCTTTTTCTTGATTTTTCAACTGCAGATAGTATTTATTGACTTATCATAATGAAAACTTCAGAATATCTGTTTTAAATTAGTAAATTCAACAGAATATGAAACATGGCATTTGGTTATAAACAGTCTCAGCCTACAGCTAATAATGAGTCATTCTTTGTGGAAATCCAATTTGGTTGCCATAAATATTTTAATTATAGAAATCGAGTAACTTAGCAATAACTGGGATTTAGATACAGAGGAACTCCTCCAGGAGATGGTACACCTCTGTTCACATCATGACCCTGCTGCCAGTTAACTCTGTGACTGTGAACACATTTCTTCCCTTCTTTGTGTCCTCATTTCTTATCTCTTCAAATAGAAATAATAACTATCTTGCAGCTCTAAAAGAGCATCCTATTAAGTCATGCCTTTGAAATGGGTCTGTAAGCCATAGAGCTGGTTTTGCCTTAGCTATCTTTGTCAATCCAAGAGGCTGCTGCTGGTCAAACAGGGCAGAGGCTGTCACAAGGTCAGAAACCCTGGTGGGGCCCTTCTGCTTCTCACACCTCAGCCTGGGAAGAGATCTGATGGAATGGAAGTGCCCGCAGGAGCAGAAGCTGCATAAGCCAGCAGGTGCGTTAGCAGAGTCTCTCACTGTCACTAGAACACAGGTTCCTAAAACAAGGCCACACCCTCCGAACTCCAGCAAGGGTATGAACAAAGCAGCCTGAAATGTTTTGCAAGGTCTCACCCTGAGTAGGGAGCCTACGCCCTAATCCTCTCCCTACAACCAAAATTGTAAAGAACTAATATGTTTACCCTAGGGGAGAGGCTGTATTCATTTATTTGTTAAAATATCTATTTAGTTTATAAAGGTATTTTTCCATTTACCACGTGCTGGCTAAAATTTCTTTTAGAGCCAATATTTACGCCTAGACAACAGACTCATGCAGGACATCTCTAACTCGGGCCTTTCTTCCCCCTGCCACAAGCTCTGGCACTTTCCACTCCCTCTGCATGCCCCTCTGTTCAGGAAAAATGTCATTTAATCCCTGATCTGTGGCCTGTGGGCTTCAAATCTCTAAGACCAAGGACTCACTGAAAAAAGAAACTTCGGCAACAAAATTATAACGCAGTCATTCTTTCTGATGTTTTTTCATTGTCTCCCTCAGTCTCACATGGCCACGTGGCCACCAAGGATGGGACCTGTGTCCCGAGATAAAAAACAGAAAACTTGGAACACTTAGTTTCTTTCCCAATAGCCAGGAGGCAAAGCCGGAGCAGGGAGAAAGAGGCCTCAGGGGCTAGAGTGTGAGCTCTGCAGCTTTTGGCCCAAGTGTGGGGAAACACGTCCTTAGGCCTTACCATACTCATCTTTCCAAATGTCAGAATTCAGAGGCTTAATATCAAGAACGTAAGTTCACCGTAAAATTCAGCAAAATCTAGAAATGCTAGAGAAGTGGCGGTTCCATAATCTTTAAACATTTGAACTTTAACAATCGGTTTAAGATCAATTTCATCTGTTAAAGAATAGTAAAGTCACTCAAATAAGAAGGAAGGTTTTTGTTTTTCTGGTAAGTTACTTAAGGTAAGGCTTACACCCATTTCCTTTGCCAGTTAGAGCTCTTTTATATATTTTGATTGTGAAATATAGGTACATGACATGTATAGATACACGGAGACAGACATACAGACTTTGCCGGCTTTTAAACATTTCTAAACATATTTTTATTTAGATCATTAATTTTTTAATTACCGAATTTATGTATTTTAGCAATTCACCTAGGTTTAATACACAACAGATATAGAAACACCAAATTTCTCAAGAACAAAATTAAAACTAATGAGAATTAAAATGTTTAGCCCGCAACCAAAATAAAGTAGGTGGACCACAGTGATTGGGGACAACCGGTGTGTGAGAGCAGAACCTCAAGACCCCCAGGAGAAATCTCCTGGCAGTGCTGCTAGGAGTGTTGGAGCACGGCACTTCCAGGGTCCCCACCCCCACCCCCGCCCCGTCCAGGGGACCACTAGGCGTCCCCAGCAGTGTATAGCACCTACCAGAGTAGTGTAGGGATCCCCTCATGGTCACCTTTTAAACTATTTAAAATTAATTGAATTGGACAATTGAATCTTTTGAGAGTGACTAGTGAAGTAAGTTAGTTTGTATCTCAAATTAGAAATGGGTATTTTAGTTTGGAATTATTCGAAAGTATTTATAGGCTTGAAGAACAGCGTAGGCCTCCTAGCCGGGAGCTGAAGATGCCGCAGAGGCAAATTCTTTGAACTTTGGCAAAGGAGGGTATGAAGAGAGACAGGACAAAACATGTTTAGGTAGATCAGAAATCTGAATTCCAGCCATAGTTACCAGCCCGGGAGGGTCTGTGTCTGCATCCGAGGTGGAAGAGGAACGTTCGTTTTCATACTCTCGTTCCTCATCTTGTAACTCTTGTTGGAATTCAGGGCGAAGGGGTTTTTCTGCTGGTGCAGGAAGGGGATAGACCCAGTACAGATTGGAGAGGGGGCTCTAATTGCTTAATATGAATATGACAGCCACTGTCATAGATTTAGTTTAATATAGATTTAACCCTTTGAATAAAGAGTTTTGGCTCTACTGAGCCAGACTGTCCCATGATTTATTACTCCCAACTATGACTACCCCTGAACACCTAAAAATCACTTACCAACTGCGCAGTTTCACTTCTTCGTACTTACGGGGGCTTCCCTCACCTGTGTGCCCACCTACTATTCCATATTCTGGTCCCTGTTCGGGTCGCCACCTGTCGCGAACCAGCACTGCGAGGGGGAGTGAACTAGAGTGGGATTGGTGGGGAATGAGGAAAATACAGCACAAAAGACTACACAGAAACAAAGGATGGGACCAGGAGAACTGACTGAGCTGATGGCTACAGCCAGCGCCAAAGCACAAAATCAGCTTTATTTTATAGTATCTGTACAGGGTTCTCTGCAGGGAAGGAGCATAAACAAGATATATTTTTGGTCTTACAATATGATTGGGAACTGTAAATGACTCAAATAGAGATAAATCTTATTAATGGTTTCTACTTGACTCATTAGTTTATGACAAGAAGTAAGAAGGGAGAGGTCAGGAGGATCTCTGCGTAGACAGAACAAAGGAAGAACTGTGTGACTTAGTAGTTTCTACTCAATTTCATGAACGTGTTACGAGAAGTAGGACGGCAAAGATCACAAGGATCTCTGCGTAGTTAACTGGACAGAGAAAGAGTGGCATGACTTCTGGCAGAGGGAGCATGAAGAGGAGAATATGGCTGTTTTGGGAATGGAGGAGAAGCAGTTGGGGGTTTATTCTCTGAATGTTCCCCAGGCTGTGAGGGCCCTGCCAGTCTCACAGCCCACTCTCCACAACAGACGAAGAGCAGAAGGGGAGAGAGGAGCTCCTGGCTGCAGATGGGAATATGTCATGCTCTGGGTGACCACCACAGTCCTAGAGAACAGGAGTCATAAAGGAGAGCCCAGAGCCCAGAAGTCTCCGGGGCCCTCTCTCCTAAGGTGACCAGATTTTAACATTGGTAAAGCAGGACACCACTGATTGGGGGTGGGGGACGGAGGAGGGGTATGTTCTTGATTAAAAATTTAGTCTATATGGAGCAACAAAAATCTTCATAAAATGCAAAAATAGTATTACAATTTTTTTAAAATTTCAACATAAGTACAATTTACAAATATAATACACTAAAACAAATTATGTATAGGGCAGCGCCTGTGGCTCAAAGGAGTAGGGCGCTGGTCCACCTGGGGGACCTTGCCCAGGAGTGGAGTAGGGAGTTTACATTAGCCTTTTCATTTCTAAATGAAGTCACATTAACCTCTTCATTTCCAAATGGAGTTACATTAACCTTTTCAGCAGCCAAAACTGTATATTCCCTTCCCGTTGTCCTGCCCTTCCCTAGATTGTCGTGCATTCTTTCCAAAAATCGGGACTTTTTTAAAACGCCATGAGATGCGGGACAAATTGTTCAAAAGTGGGACATCTGGTCACCTTACTCTCTCCGCTCCCTTGGAGTTAGCTTTTGTCCCCTGAACTTGATTTCTCTTGCATTAACTCATTCATAGACACTGGAGGAAAGTTTGTTCTCTAATTAAACCTTTGCATGAGAATGCAGCTGCTAGAGCTCTCTTTGCTGAGGACAGCACAGCATTTCACAGTTATGTATGGAGTGTGCATTCCCTCCCTCGGAGTCGTCGATAGGTCTCACTTTGACCACGGGATTGTTCCTGTTGGTCTTGAGCTGATTTGGATTTAGACTGTGCTGAGTGCTGGATAACGGATGGCACCCCTCAAGATTTGAAGATGTGAGAAGAGTATTATTCTAGTGAAAGTTAAATGCAAAGGAGAAAATAGGTTATGTGTTGGAGTAAACGAGGAATCTGTAAATGAGTAGTTGAAGACTTCAGGGTACTCAAACGTACTCTGGGAGAATTCTTGAGGAGACGACTGTGTTGAAGTTGTAATTTAACAGAGATCTTTTATTTATTTATTTATTTATTTATTTTGGAGAAAGAATAAACAGAA